TGGGATAATAGATTGATCTATGAACAAAAATGTGTGAATCTTGAGAAATTATAATACCCCATATATGAGCTAATGTGGGTTGATATCATTACAAACGAGGTTGATTTTTATTACCCACTATTACGCTACCAACTAGGCCTTTGGCAAAAAAAAAAAGTTGGAGAAAAATTTATGATCATAGTCCAAGGTCTAGTGCTCATCGAGGGGAATGGGATTCGAGCTCAATAATGTAGAACTTCTTGTGAGGATACCCAACTCGAATTCTGAGAATTGAGTTTTGAATGGGAAAAATGAATCATAGAGAAGTTGTTGTTAAAAGATGCATCAGTATTTAATGAAAAAATTTCTGGTATCATTCCTGAGGTGAGGATGCATTTATCCCACAATGAATTGAGGGCTGAGTTATATACTCTTAATGAAATTTGTAGCTCATTGAGTGGGGTGTCTTAGTTATGGGAGCACTCTTGACAAATTTCACCTATATGGAGGTTGGATTGGGGTCGCTCCTATGAGAATTGGGTTATTCTCTAAATCATCCATGAATACCAGGATGAGGCACAAAGGTCGTAATGTGCCAGCTTATTAAGCTCAAATTGACAGCTAGACTTTTATGTGTGTAATGTGGTCTCCTATATCCTCAAATAGTCATAGTTCAAGACTTTATTCACTAGAGACTATGGAATAGGAATCACTGACTCACTAAATAGAGGTTCAAGGCATTGCTATCTCAATTATGCATAATAGTTTGCCCTTGCCTAAATTCTTTATCTTCTAAAATCTTTTCTTTTTAATTAAAATGGAGGGGGAATGTCGTAAATTTTAATTAAAAAATTGATTTGCAAATTTAATGAGCATGCGTTTCTCAAAGGAAAATAAATGAAATGTTTATTGCAACTGTTTATATATTCATTGTGTAATGATTTTGATTTAGTTAGTCATTTAAATTAATATCTATATTTCGGTTACAATTTGAAAGTCTATAAATAGGTAGCCCTCCATTTGTGTTATATGCTCTTACGAAAAGAACTATGCCGCACTCTTATTCTCTGTTGGGCAAGGAAAGGTGGTTGTGTGGAGCTTGCTTTACAAGGGTGTAGTTCTTGTAAAGCCACAACAAAGAATGTTGGACTGTTGTATC